ATTTCTCTCCCTCAAATGATTATGATTACATAAAGATATATACATGTGATCTATTCGCATGATATTTTGGCACCCACTTCCCTATTCATAATCACGAGGGGATTTTATGTGGGAGAGCTACCGACTATCTCGCGGGTGACCCGGTCACGTTTCTGAGACGGGTCCAATCACACTCGTGAATAATGCAGTACTGCAATGTAAATATTATAGCATAGTAAGAAAATTTTTCACCAAGTTTAAAAAAAAATTTAACATATTGCAATTAGTACAAAATCACGTTACCGAAAATTTTTGCGTTCTTGGAGATAGCATTACACCGGCCGTTGCTTAGAACTTCAGTATTGCATAAAATAATGCAACTATGAGCAATATTACTCTATCATTATCCATTTGCATAATTTTTCTTGGCAAAATAAGTATAGACAAAAAGAGTTATGATTATGTGATACAATTGTGTCGCAGAGGATAGGATGAGGGGCACAGGAAACCAGAGGCATGCCCCTACGTATAAATATACAAATATATATATATACGTACCAATATTATTTTTGTAGAAGCAGCTAATATTATAAGGTTAACCAATAAGAAGGCATCCTTCACTTAATATATATCAAATAAAAGGGCATACATTTTAGTTTAAAGGCATGCCCAAGAATCCTGTGTTCCTCACCCTACAAATGGATATTATTCATCCAAGTTTGTATCGTATTATCTAAGAAACTTTCAAAATTAGATCTACTGTGAAAGATATTATCCGGAGCAATGATACGGGCGATGAAAAATAATGGGCGTGTCGATCCTAAAAAAGCTCGAGCTGGTCGACCGGATCGATTTTTTTACTAGTAGAATTTTTTCTGATCAGAATTAGTCTTCATATCTATATCAACGTGTAATAAGCCTTCAGGTAGCTCCTTGTCAAATTCTAGTGATACTAATATTTATGTTGATTAATTGCCTATGCACCCGGATGTACCCGAGAATTTTCGTTTTATGTGCAAATGTCTACATTCAATTGACCCGGCGTTGAGCCGAGATTACTAACCCGGATGCACTGACGAGTATTGTTATTTATAATTTCCTGGACACTGTACATAGTAGTAGATCACGGAGATTGATTAGTAAATTACTAGATTGCATACCAGATAACGGTTATATTCAACCATTCAGGGTATTGCAAAGTAGTTACTTGACACAAAGGCAACTCTAGTTGGCGATTTTGTGATGATGGGCTTTGGGGAGGATCCTTGACTATTTCATGGATATCGAATTTTGAAGATAAAGGAATGGTCGAGTAAATTTTGTGAATTTTTCCTGAACGCAAACCAAGTGATATTTTCACTTATTTTTTCATATAATTCGTCTGTTCTTATTTTTAAATCCGGAAGTTTTAATAGTGCCCAAAGTTTTCCATTGCGTAGTATTAAACATAAATCTGTTCTCGTTTTCGACAGTTTTATTATTTTTGACACAATGACACCCCTTTACGGTAGTTAACTTTTTATGCGGATTTACTTGTGTAACGATTGGTTATGAAGTTTGTTTGATCGTATACAAAAGTGTAAATATAGGCACGGGACGGAAAAAACGGATAAACCGGATAAATGGACAATCTCGATGAGCTGGACGAAAAGGCACATGTCGATATAGAACAATTCCATTACCTCAAAGGATTCAAAGGATTTACTGAATTAGGCCTTTTATCCAAGTAAGGATTGAATTGAATTTAAAAGATTTGGGGAATTTAAAGATCGAACTTTTAAATTTGAATCAATATAAAAATCACAAATTCTGAAATTTGAATCAAACATGTATAGGTATATTAAATATAATACGAATAAATTTTTCAGTATACACATTATAATCTGATTTTAGGTAAAATAAGTGACGCAAAACAAGTAACCTATAAATTCTTTTTTTTATAATCACTTACGTACTAGTTATCAGTCGTGTCGTAGATGGTAACTGATTATTCATCTACTAAGACTCGTCTGATAACGGTAGTATTCATCTACTAAGACTCGGTAGATATTTTATCAAAGAAAAAAAAAAGCTAATTTTATCACTAGGTATGTTTCTGATTAAGAATTTTAAAACAGAATAGGGCTTTTTTTTACCACTCATTTTCGAAATAAGTTAATAAATATTTGATAGTCAAATTCGAGTCATTTAATAGGATCCAATTCTGATTCTTCTAAATTATTAACTATTCGAGAAAAAAGGAGAAAAAAGCAAAGGAAAGTGGGCTGAAAATTAACATGAAATTAATTATTATCATATGAAAATGAGCATGAACAATATATATGTTCAAAATTTCTTTTGTAAATATTACAAGTATGTGCACAGATACTTGAACGCATCATACGATCAACATGAGTAAATCTTAAATCAGATTATGTAATACAATATTGCGTACATATTATGTAACTTATTTTGTAAAGATCGAACGCCACATCTTACTTTCTATACTATTGTGACGAAAATTATATAGCAAAAATGCCTCATTTTACAATAGGATCCTTAATTGCAATGGTATTCACCTGACGACATTTCTAGCCTATATTTCGTAGAAAAGCTAAAAAAAAGTATAAATTACTTGAATGACATCTTGAAATTTGACAAGTTATTTCTACATACATTAATCACTTTTGTGAAAACAAAATGGGTAAACAAATTTCAGAATCTTATATATCAAGTTCTCGAATTGTTAAAGTAAATATATCCTTGTCAGGATTATCTTGCATGAGTTGTATTCATTCTATTGAAAGTGCTTTGCAAAGACTTCAAGGTGTAATCGTACCTTCGATACATGCTGATCTACCTACGAGTAATGTTATTCTTGAATTTGATGAATCAATAATCAACATAGGACAAATTAAAAAAGCTATACAGGATGCTGGCTACCATGTTGTAGACATAGTTGAAGAAGAGTCTTATATGAAAACAATTAACAAAAGTAATAACACAATGAATGAAAGTAATAATACAATGAATGAAACCAAGAGTACTGTTATAGATATGACTAAAAATTCACCTTCCAAGACTCAGGGCAATGATACAACCATACTTGCAATAGGTGGAATGACATGCGCCTCCTGCGTAAAAACTATCCAATCGGCTGTTGAGTTTCTACCTGGTGTAACTTCCGTAAATATTAATTTGCTTACCACTCAGGCTTCTATAAAGCATGACCAAAATCTGGTCGGCCCACGTGATCTTATAGCCAAAATCGAAGAACTTGGTTACGAACCTCAGTTATATTCTGATAACGATGGAGATGATACAACTATACTTGAAATAGGTGGAATGACATGCGCCTCCTGCGTACAAACTATCCAATCGGCAGTTGAGTTACTACCTGGCGTAGCTTCTGTAAATATTAATTTGCTTACCACTCAGGCTTCTATAAAGCACGACCGAAATCTGATCGGTCCACGTGATCTTATAACCAAAATCGAAGAACTTGGTTACGAACCTCAACTATATACAAAAGGGCCTTCTAATAACAATGGAAATTCTATTCGCCAACGTGCCGAGAAAGAACAGAAGAAGAAGATGAAAGGATTTCTCATTTCTTTAATTTTTGCTGTTCCAACATTCTTCATTACTATGATCTTCATGATGGCTTTACCAGAATCGAATTCAATTCGTATGGGTTTGGAATATCAAATCATACCTGGTTTAGAAGTTAATACTTTGATTCTATTTATTTTCGCTACACCTGTCCAATTCATTCTCGGTTATCCATTCTACATAAAAGGAATTCGTTCTATTTGGTATTCTCATCAAGCAAATATGGATACTCTAGTAGCTGTTGGCACAACTGTTGCTTATGTTGGATCATTACTTAATGTATTAATACCAATTGTACAAATGAGTAGTAATCCAGGTCAACAATTTTTTGAAACTAGTATATTTCTTATTACTTTTATTTATCTTGGAAGATGGTTGGAAGCAAGAGCAAAGGGGAAAACTTTTGAAACTATTACAAAGTTAATGGAGTTACAGCCTGAAAATGCAACTCTTTTAACTATCACTCTTGATGAGAAAAAAAATGAAATTATTGACGAACGTGAAATTGGTTTAGAACTTGTTCAAAGTAAATAAATTTGAATATTTTATTTTTATTATTTTTTTATTTTTATTTTTATTTTTTCTTATTTAACCTTCATTCTTTTAAATGTAGTTGGAGATATTCTTAAAGTTAATGCTGGTGCACGGATTCCGTGTGATGGTAGGTATTTTGTAATGATAAATTCCAAATTCCCTATAGCAATCCAGTAATTTGATTCGACGAATCCGAACACTAGATCACAATTTTTATCAGATCTAATCTCGTGATTCAGTTGTTAATTTTCTGGTTTTCATGTCATTAAACCTTCTGTCCGCTTTATTTTTTTTTAAAAAAAAATTTATATATAAACCATTATTTAAATATCTACCTGGTTATTGTATATAAATATAATTTTTTTAAAAGTTTTAAATTTTGAATTGAAAAAAATTGACCCGGCCGGGATATGAAAAACCAGAAATTTACTTTGCTTCGCCTTATTTTTATTTTTTATTTGTTTATTTATTTGTTTATTGTATTTTACTTATTTATTATTTATTTGTTTTTAATATCAAATCAATTTCATTTTTTAGGAAAAATATTTCGCGGCACAGCATCCTTGGAAGAATCCATGTTGACAGGCGAATCCATTCCTGTGACAAAGCATGAAGGCGATGACGTGATAGCTGCAACAATTAATTTATCATCTTCAATTTGGATAAAAGCTACACGTGTTGGTTCTGATACTACTATTTCACGTATTATCGATCTCGTTCAACAAGCTCAATCAGGCAAAAAGGCTCCAATTGAATCTTTGGCTGATAAAATAGCTCAAGTATTTGTTCCTGTAGTAATATCAATTGCTATTCTTGATTTCATTTTATGGATTTCTCTTAGTGCTACGGGCCACATACCAACTGATTGGCTACCTGAAGGTGAAAATCCTGTAATTTTTTCTCTTTTCTTTGCCATATCGGTTATGGTAATTGCTTGTCCTTGTGCTATGGGTCTGGCATCACCTACTGCTATTATGGTTGGTACTGGTGTGGCCGCAAATCACGGTATTCTGATTAAAGGAGGTGGTGAAGCAATAGAAACAGCCTTCCGATTGGATACTATTGCATTTGATAAGACTGGAACTTTGACTTATGGAAAACCACAAGTTGTTGGCTCTGACTTTTTATGTGAAAAACAAAACTTTAATCTTGAAAGTGAAGATTCTCAAAATGATTTATTATTATTGAAAATAATTAGTCTTATAGAATCTTCAAGTGACCATCCTTTATCAAAAGCAATAACACAATATGCTAACGAAATTTTATTAAAAAGTAAAAGGATACCTACTACTCATGTAACTTTAGACTCTGTTAAGGAAATTACTGGCAAGGGTCTTGAAACTATAGTAACCATTCATTGTACTGTACCAACAGTCTATGATGTCTTTATCGGTAATGAAGAATGGTTAAAAGAGAATGGTTGTGTTTATCCACCTTATGTCGATCAAGAAATAGCAAACAAAACACTACTAGATTGGAAGAAATTGGGTTATTCAATCGTTCTTATTGGTCTTTCTCCTCATTTTTCTGACAAAAGCCAAAGGATCGATCCTGGATACATCTTAGTACAATTAGGAATAGCCGATACACCAAGACCTGATGCTGCAAAAACTATCAAACTATTAAAATCTCATGGTATTCAAGTTTGGATGATAACTGGTGATAATCAAATAACTGCAAAAGCCATTGCCTCAAAACTTGGAATTGAGAACTTTTTTGCCCAAATTACGCCTGAGCGAAAAGCTGAAAAAATCAAATGGTTACAGCAGCATGGTCGCACCACCGTATACCATAACAAGCATTTTAATTTCTTTTCATCAATTAAAAATATGTTTCAAAAAAATGGGGTTCCACACGATATTGAAACAGTAATATCGAAACGAGCAACAGTTGCAATGATAGGTGATGGAATTAATGATTCACCAGCATTAGCACAATCAGATTTACCGATTTCTATAGCAAATGCTACAGATGTGGCGATTGAATCTTCATCTGTAATACTTACAAGAGCAACTTTGACTTCTTTAATTACATTATTATTGTTATCAAGAAAAATTATTTGGAGAATTAGGTTAAATTTTTTATGGGCATATATTTACAATTCTTTGGCTATACCAATTGCAGCTGGAGCTTTATTCCCACTGACCAAATTTGGGATGAGGCCAGAAATGGCAAGCTTGGCGATGGTTTGTAGTAGTGTTAGTGTGGTTTTGAGTAGTTTGATGTTGAAACGATTTAAAGAACCAAAATATTAGAAAGATAAAAAGTTTATTTATATAAATTATAAAAATTTAATACCCTATTATTTAGCTTACTGTAAAAGTAGATTAATAATATAATGCATTATTATAATTAATTCTCATAATTAATATTCTATTATTGTTCGAATGGATAAAAAATTGGTCATCCCCTTTTATTTGTACGTTGTCTAAATTATTTTACTCTTGGCGTAAATTTAAATGGCTAAATTAGTTTAGATAGCTTAAATCAGAGAGTCAAAAATAATTCAGGTTGTAAAAATTATTTGTGTAAAATATTTTAGGATGCCTAAAAAATATTTTCGCCCTTCCAATGTTTTTATGACGAAAATTAAATACAGTATTTTAAATATATATTTCAATATGTTCGAATGCTAGAACTAATCTTTTAAATAATTCTAAGATTTGATGATTAATTTTTTTTACTGCAACTCTTATATTCAGCATATACCTAAATCTTTTATGCTAAAATTAGATGTCATAAATTTTTTAACCCAATTTTTTTTTTAATTATCAACGATTATTTTAAGTAACAGGATTTATCAAGATTTTTAAAAGGGCACTTTTTAATATCGCATCACCGTGATGATGTTGACTTTTAAATAATATATGGCAGTCTATAATGATATCGGCAGTCTATAGGGGTTTACTAATTTCTCCCACCACTTCCCATTGGATGAATACAAATATCATTTTCCATTTGACGAAACCAATTACATCATTGATCGGGATGGCTAAAATTTTATGTAATCATCTAATGCATCGCAATTATTACTTCTTTTCGCAATGATTACATTGATTAAAAATTTTTTTCTTTTAAAAAAATAATTATTTTCGACATTTTGCTCTTTTGGTTTTAGCACTTTCAATAATTTCATATGAACATTTTAATAAATTTTTGCCAAAAAATTTTTATTATATCCACTTTTTAAATCATACTGCTATATGAAAATCTGAAAACAAAATAAGTATTAATTTTATTTTTT